TTGATTGGCTACGATATGATTTGATTGACAATAATACTGTAATAATAATAAATGTGATATGTAGTAAAACTAGTAATAATCGATGGTCGATCATTCCTTGCAGGTGACATTACCAAAGTGAGCCAAATCGGCCCATATGTAAAATTCGTGTAACCCGATCAGCCAATTACATGAAAATCTTCCTATGATCCCTAATTACACCAGATTTAATTTAGTTATCGTTATGACATAATTTAAAATTAATTTTATTGGCTACTAATTGTGTTGTATAACCGAAGAATTAATAAATACCTCGTGAATGCAATCTGAGTAATGATAAAATCATATGAATCATTTCTGATATAACTTTTTTTTTACTATGCTTATATCATTATATAAACTTTTTTTACTGTGCTTATATCATTATATAAACTTTTTTTATACTATTTCGTGTCACTAATTAATAGTTTATAAAGATCATTTTATAATTAATCATGATGTATCCAGAAAAATATATAAAGTATATATATACTCAAGTTCCTCAAAACTTCTTTCTCTAAAAAAATACTTTAACTAAAAATTTATTCTATTGCTTTACAGCAAAATGAAGGCGTCGTTAAATTGTATATTCTTAGGAATGACTGCTTTTTTTGATTCTTTTACGGTTTTCCTTTATGAAAAAAACAATACTTATGATGGTGAAGTCGTCTTTAATGATCTTAAAATTGGACACATTAAGTTTCTTATCTGTCGTGAAAAAGATATTAAAATTAATAATTATAATGACCTAAACCTTTGGAAGGCTGACTTCTCTTATGGTTATAATCTTAAAGATCTTACTGAAGAACAAATTTGTAAAGATAGCGAACAGTTGGTGCCTATCATCTATTTTAAAGAATATTTTCTGGATCAAGATGCGGTTGACAAAAGTCTCATCTTCGTATAAGTCCCCGCCACTGGTAAGTATCTCCCAACGTTTTACCTCTCGAATAAGAAATTTGTAGTAACAAAATATCGATTTGACTGATGTCATTATTTTTTTATCTACACGCATCACATTTGTGATTTCTTTCCTGTTACTTTATAATCAACACAAGAAACTGTGAAAATAGGTAACACGCGATGCTGTTGTTTCATTAAAGCAGAATATTCCTGTGTGACCAGATTTTTAATTGACTTTTAAACACTAGTCAAGGATGCCGTTGATATTGCCTTAAAGGGGTCTAATAAGAATACTGATATTATTAGACCTGATAATAAAATGCCTTTTATGGAACGTAACACCGATCAAGTAATTTTAGAGATTATGAAAAATATTCAGAACCATCTTCAAGGTTCTAAGGCCAAAACAGATTTTAACATCCTTGTCAGTGGTAGGGCTCCTGGAATAGGTATGATCTTAATATAGTGTGTTCAAGCCTACACGTAGTTATTCATTCATCATAAATCTCATGAGTAGGTAAAACTCGGTTTGGAAGTGAAATATTCAAATACCTAGAAAATAACCAGAATTAGGTCCCTTCTGAGTGGGAAAATAATCTACAACTTAAAAGTCTCTATTTAGACTTCGGTAATAGTTGTAAACTTGATTCATATGATGATGAACTAACTCCAACAGTCATCATTGGCCTGCGAATTGCCTATGTGTTTTTCATTGAAGGAAAATATACTATGAAGTTTGAAACTTTTCGTAGATTAGTCTAGAAGTACAGAGAGATTTTCAATATATCTGATATTTTTGCTAGTATTTATAACCTCCAACTCAATCGACATATCATTGTATTTATTCATATTGACGAGTTTCAGCTCATCAATCAGTGGGAGTTTAACGCAGTCAACAAAAGGAAAGTTTTAGCAAAAGAGCTCTTTAAGGAAATGATCAATGGCCTTGCATCGTACATGCTTGGTCCACCCTCCCTTATCTATGTCCAGACATTTCTTTCTGGAACAGCACCACAAGTTGTTATTGCTGCGAAAGAATCATCAAAGGTTTCATTTAGATTTGCCAATTGCCCACAACTGTTATTCAGAGCAATGCTTAATATTGCAAATCATTATGCACAAAAATACGGTGCAGAAAAATTCGACTGTGGTTCGTACAAATGGATGCTTTGTTGACCATTTCTCCAACTTTTGGAAGACTCCGAAGGATTGCCTCGCGCACTTCAGTACGTCTTTGAAGTGTGCTTTGAAATCGAAACTGATAGAAAGAAATTCTTCGGCAATATTCATAAATAGCATATTAATACTATCTTTTATAATATCAAACACTGTTTCCAAGAACGCTACAACATATACGGAACCATCGAGAAGAATAAAAAACTTGCTTTAGAGCTTCTTTATCACAGTATCGATGCAATTCCTGTTAAATGCAAAACATGCCTGAATCCAAGCGATGAAGACTATACGATCAAAAACCTCGAACGTGACGCACATATTATTCTCAGTCCCTGCAATGATACTTTCTCTGAATTTACCATCAAGATGCCTTTCTTTTTTGTCTGCTTATACAACGACAAATTAAAAATCGTGGACTTCAGTTTTGAAGAGACATTTCGGATGCAAAACACTATGCATTGGCAAGATTGGGAACTTTTTGTGACACTCTACGAGACATTTCGCACCAACTTGCTAATGGAACGTGGAAAACGTACGGTACATCTGGAGTTATATCGTGGTGTCTTTGGAGCTGTATCGGCCAAGAATATTGAGGTTAGGCTAAAGAAACTTTCTGTCTACCAAGCACAAGAGCAATTCCCATGTTTAAAATTAACAGAAAAAGGTACCGCAAAGTCCATTCCATAGGAGGAAGGTGAAGTTGTGGTTGTCAATGGTGCATCTGCTGAATGGGGAGATTCATTCAGAGTTTTGCAAACAGTTCAAGGTGATCGTCTCTTTAGTATTCACCAAGCCAAATATGACTATAACTCAGCCACATACACTTTAAAAGATCTTCTCAAAGAACACATTAAGAATTATGTTACTTCTATTAATACTAAAAAAGAGCTTTTCGATAAACTTGCTAAGTACCGTCACATAACGATTGTTTTCACAACACAGCCATTTTATGAAACAGTTTCATGTGACGATTGCTTTATTATTTCGCGTAGTAATTTTGAACAATACTTTGGTCCTGTATTTTCTTTTCGTGCTACATTTGCCTTGACAAAAAACATCAACCCTAACTTTTCAGAATCACAAAGGATGGTGAAATGCCTTTCCGGGGTTGGTGATGTCACAGCTGAAGAGATTATTATAAATCGACCATATAAAAGTGAGGATGACTTCTTTAAAAATCATGGTCAGGCTAAACGAGGCATAGAGAAGAATGAGCATGAGAATCCCAAAAAGAAAATCAAACTTGACTTCTACCCATTTAATGTGCAAAAAATAAGTTAATTCTGCGTTTAACATGGATATTTTTATCAATTATCAATGTACAATCTACAATAACAAATATAATATCAATAATAGCTGTATACCGATTCTATAATTTTTATTTTATTTTAATAAAGCTTAATGCATTACTTTTTCTAATGGTTAATTATATTTCACAGTAAAAAATTTAAAAAATTAATTCGTGATTAGTTTAAGAGCAGGAGAAAGATTTTTATATTTCAGAATCTGGATTGACTTGAGTGATAGATATCTTGGTAATGAAACGATTTCTTCTGAGCAGAAAGAATATCAAAGAATATGCTTGGAATATGAAAAACCTTTAGAACAGACTCTTATCGAAGTCAAAACTTTTCCTAAATATATTTCTCTTTCCCCGAAATCCAATAATAATTTTCTCCAATTTGTAGACGAATTGCAAATTAAAGCAGTGCAACTGTGAAGAATCTTCACGATCTAAAATCACGTGAAATTTTGCCAATCGTTACTCGTGACGGAAATTTTCCATTTTATTAATACATGCGAAAAATAAATACAAATATTCGGGACTTTACTCGCGATACATGAAGACTATACTATTATTATACATGATTATTTTTTCGAATAATACCCCTTTATCCTAACCCTCTTTCTTTCTGGCTCATCCTCTACACATGCCCTATCCATTAACAAACCCACAATTATGCCCAAAACCTCTTTTACGCTATCACATAATAATTGGTATGACTTTGAGTTTGGTTCCAAGGCCTTCCTAGAAAATTCGATCAAGTATGCAGTATCACTTGCCTTGGATATTTTTCCAGGACTATATAGAAGGAAGTGCCATTCCTGACCTGTTGTGATAATACCATAGAGGTAATCGAAATCTTCTTCACCCCGCTTTCTCTTCCTCTTGTTCATCTCACATGCGCTCTAAAGCTGTTTGATATTTTGTGAGAAGCCTAGGGGACCTTATGCTGTTTATCCTCTGTAATACAGATAAGGTCTTCAGCTTCTTAACCACAATTTGCATAGATATGTTAGTGTTAAGTTATCCCAATTATGAGTGGAGTGGGAGTAGCAAATTAAATTACCTTTATTGCATAATTGACCTGACCCTGACTTTCTTCACTAATTATTCCATACTGGGGTTTCATGCTAAAGTCCTTGTTTGTTATATCTATAACAATATGGATGCCAGCATGTAGGAGGGTCACAACATACTCATTACGCATTGCCTCTAAACTGTCAGGTTGTAAAGTTCCATATGTACTCTTCTATGCAACGCTTAAAGATCTTATTTTCATCCTGAATTTCATAAGTGAGAGGGGAGAAGAGCGGTATGGAATCTATTCCATCAGAGTCATACCTATATTCCGCTAACACTTCACTTAAGCTAAAGTATGAGAAGAACGCACACTTCGGCTTTTCTTTGAGGGTTTGAACCTCTTTTGCGAGAAGCGTTGCTTGACCACCTTTAAATCTATAACGCTCAAAGTCTTCTCTAGTCAAGTCGAGAAAGGAGAGACCGTTAATTTCTTCTTCACGAAAAATGTTGAAGTGCTTTTTCTCGAGCTTGAGGTTCTGCTCTTTCAAAAAATCGATAAGGGTTTCTGTATTCCAGTTCTCAACCAAGTAAGAGTCATGTTTAGCTGTTGAGGTAGACATAGTGTTACGATTTAATAGGGATATTAGCTTGAATAAAAAATAGTATTACGTTCAAGAGAAAAATAGAGTTTTATTTCTAGTGGGAATGCAGATGTTAATATAGGTTTTTATGTCACACAGGCATTGTATCATCACACGTGACCCTTTCTCATATATGTTCGATAAAATAATACTTTATTTATGAAATAAAAATGTTGCCAGAAGGGTCTCAGAGGGACCAAGTCGGCCTACAATACATAAAAACTATTATATAGCATGATGAAATATAGATAAAAAATTCTAACTAGTCGTTAGGGAAGAATTTGAATATGGATACGGTCTTCATCAGGAGTCTCGTTAAAATAGGAAAAAATCCTATCTTCTGTTCACATAGGCTTCTCCTCAGGATAAATTTAGCGAAGGAAGTCATTACGGTTGATTGCCTCCAGCTTCTTTCTTACTTCTTCTTCAATATCAGAGATTGTTTTATCCTTGGAAATCTCAATCACGAAAATTACGTTCTTATTTTCTGCATTACGGTAGCAGAAGTTAAGACTAATAAGATCATTATCTGTGCTGGTAGACATCTTATTTTCCTAAATACAAGGCTCATAGTGAGAAATTTTCGTTCCTATACATACATAACTTCTGTCATATACGTATCTTATAAATTTTGCGGAAAGTTGGCTGAACTTCCACATACTCCTACATGCTTTATATCTTGCTGGGAAAAATTAGGGAGGTATGAGGCATGATTAGCATTGCCATCTGATGCTAAGAGCTCTTTGAAAGCATATACAAATGGAATTTTCTTACCTTTTCACATGTAGATCTACCGGAGAGACACATAGTTGGTCTTACGCCTGACGATCTTGAAATTGCGAGTCCCTCAACCTTTCATAACATATGTTTCTGTCATCACTATTTACTTTTAGAGCTAGTCCTGTGTTGCGTGTAGACTTTCTTTCACATTTTCTCACATTTGTTTAGGACAAAATAAAGAACAAAGGTTAATATGTTTATCAAATATATATATGCGAAAATAAATATATCACACAAGACCTACTGATGATCCCACTTATTTTTTGTCACACAATCTCTAGCTCAGCAAATTCTTCTGAGCTGGTGATCACCACTCTGGGTTGATAATCAATATTCCGGACACAAATTGAATATATACTAACCAGAAATAACACAATCATGACAAGCAATACTAATAATGCATTAGTTCAAAGTGAAATACTTGAAAATCAACTATATGAAGTGCTTTTGTACAAGAAGATAGAAGTATTAGCTATTCAGGAACGCATAGCCGAAAGAAAACTTGGTATTAATAACAATGTCCAAACAGCATTGAATCAAAGCAAGAAAGCGGAAACAATTGATTATCCACTTGATTATATAAGTAAACTATTGTTTGATTTGGTAGAGAAAATTATATCGATAAAGGAGGATCTTGAGACTAGTGGTCACTCAATGCTTATTATATTACATCGATATAGAAAAGATCTTATAGATGTATCATTAGGGGAATTTTCACTTAGGGAAAAATACCATTTGCTTTTATATTTGGAAGAGGATATAAGTATAATTCAAAATTATCTTAGTATTGTCAGTTATACTAATGAAGAAATAATAAAAGAAGAAGCAGAAAAAGATGTGAGAGCATATATTCAAAAGTTCAGACATTCCAAGTGTGGTAATACAAAAATTCATCAATAGGATTTTACCAGAGAGGGTTTCTATTATGTGAAAAATTCAGCTAGTGCCTGTGTCTAGAACAGGTTAGCTAATCCTATATTTTTTTTTATCGTACAGGATGCATCTAGATCAAAAATCTTTTGAGCTAATGATCACTGCTCTGGACTGTTGATCTAGTCAACCCTAGATCAGAATACCATTGCAAATTATTTTGCATACTTAAATCTAAGAGGTTCTGAGCTAAAGTCTGTTTACTAGCAACTTTGTTCTGTGTAAGATGATTTATAACTGCTCTAATAAGATCAGAAGGCGTTAAAGTGTTCACAAAATTCTTGATATGGATATTTGGATTAAGTGAAATGAGCTGATCTATGGCTTCTTTGCTAATTATATAAGTGGGATATCCCACTATATAACACCCTCTCAGATTAAGATATTTTAAATTGGGACATGATCTAGCAATTTCTTCGATAGTTATATTAGTAATTTTATAAAAGCTAAGATTGAGATACTGGAGCTTTGGGCAAGAACAAATAACATTACAAATTGATATTTCGGAATATTCTATGTAATTAGAAATATTTAGATATTCTAATTTATGGCATAAATTTGCGATTGCATATAGACCTTTATCATTTTCTGATCCAAAGCTTCCGGATAAAGCAGATATATTGAGATACTCCAAATTTGAATATGATTCTGCTATTAGCTTTAGAACTTTACCTATACAGTCCATACTTCCTTCAAAATCTAAATAAATTATATTCGGGAATGTGTGTACAATACCTTTGATTTTTTTATTTGAAAGTGAACGGTAGTGTGTTATTTTAAGATGAGTTAGTTTTGAGCTATAAACTGGTTTTCTTCCTCCTTCAGGTACTATTTTTAAAATCTTTCCAATTGAAATTTATCCTTCACATTGTCTCCCTTTAGCTCAATGCGTTTCCATAGAATAGGAGCACCGCATCTATACCACAATTGGAAAACAAATAGAGCGGAATATAGTGACTTATCTACCGCTAGGAAATATAGAATCCGCTCTAATAGTTCTGGTATAATAAAAATGCTTGAATGCGTCATAAATAATATATGCTGTATCTTTAAACAAAAAATAAATTACACAATTACTGCTCCAGACCCTACACCTCTGCATTTTGCTTGTCTAGTCCAAATATCTGAGCTAATTTCTCTGTATCTGATAACTGATTTTGATCGATTACCATTTTTGTGATATAATCTATATGCCATATCTTGCCTTAAACAAAAAATAAAATTAATAAACAGTATCCCGCGCAGTCTCTATAAGACTCCTCTAACATTCAATATGATTAGTTTTCATCAAAGATCTTGATTGCCTTTGCCTGATTGACCAGACATATTCAGAGCATAATCACTACATCGGCAAGATTAATCCATTTTTTCTTTTATCTTTGCCTGATCCCCTGACTCCTTCTAATAATTGCAAGAAGGTGAGTCGTTCATTATGCCGTAGTGTTCTATTGATACAACTCTACCTACTACTTGTCTGCAAGCCAATTTTCACAAATATTGACGATAAGAATCATTCCTACCCCATGGATCCTGCTAGCATGATCCACACCTATTACCCTTAATTTACGTGAAGTAATTCCATGCTCAGCTATAGTGGTATTAATTGGATTTACGTTAACTATACCACTACAATTTTTTTGTAAAAAGATGAATTTTTTTGGTATTGCGTTCTAAATCCAGGTGAGCAACTCTTTTGCTCGTATTGGATCTTTTTCCATTGAGAGAAAAGGTCGGAGTTCTTCTGATCCTATTTCACCCTTAATTTTGGAGTAACCAGTACAATACTAACTATAATTGGACTTATACCACATCTCGTCTGATGTATCATATTTATCAATAGAAAGACCAGCAACATTTGCCGGTCGCATAGACAACATTATCATTATATCAACCAGATTTTTCTTAGAAAGAGACGAGGAAATATCGCATTTTTCGAGTCTTTTCTGAACCTTTTCTAAGTAGTAGTGTTCAGGGCATTCAAAGCCCTCATCTTCATCAAATATATGCCGGTATGCTTGAATTTTATTCGATTTTGTAGTAATGTGTGGAATTTTGGTCGCTTCTTTTTTGAAATGATCAGCTCCACAATCACGTAACTTTTTTTACAATAAAGTGAGCTGAAAACTTCCTGCAACTGGATTAGGTGCAGAACTGGCCAGATCATTTGAAATTTCTTTTATTTTCTCAGGTAGAAAGTCATTGTCTACAATTTCTTAAGCAATTTTATCAACAGTATCCCTACCTTCTTCACGCTTTTCAGTAGGTTGAATAGGAATGAGAACTTCTACTTGTTCCTTAGTAAGTCCTAATTGTCAAAACGTATTTTGGCATTAGATCTTACCTTGTGATCATCCCTCAAACTTTTGTTAATTTCCTTTATGTATTTAGCTAGTTCAGATGATGGAGTTTTGAAGGTCCATTTATGGCGTTCCATGAAATCTGTAGCTACTTTTGCCATATTATTTTTACGAAACTATAGTCAAGAATATTAAAATGTACTAATTTTATATTATATACAAAAAAGTTCAATTCGAAAATTTTTATCCTGACAATTCACTACACCATGATCGGTAGGCAAAAAGAATATTATAACTTATTGCAGGCTCTCTGGTCGGGGTTTACTCTGCAAACATTTGAAAATTGCAGGTAGATAGGATATACAAAAAAAAATATAGTTATAGAATCGCCATTCCAAGGTTATGAATGGTCTAAGACCAAAATATTATAGTAATATTTAGTAAAACATTCATGCTAAAGCTAATATATACTCCAGCCCTAAAACATCTGTCTTGATAAATGCATCGCATAAAGCTTCCAGTTTATACTTTGAAGGAGC